AGAGGTAATAAAGTCATTACTTTTTACACTATAGCCAACCCCGAAAAGCTTTATACACACCATTATATATAAACCACACACACATATATATATATATATTTCCACAACACTCACTCGCTCATTTCTATATCTTCGTCATAGATGGATTTTTATGGATGGGTGGGAACAATATTCAAATCTGAAAAGCCTGGTTCTGAAAGAATCTGGCTCACTATTGTTACCTGAAGGGGCTTTTCTTTTATTTATTTATTTTTCAAAGGCCTCCCAGTTGCACTTTCTTCTTCCCTCTCTTCACCTTCCCTCCAATTGTCCCCCACTTCGTCTTCCCCCGCCACCCCCCAAGAAGACATTCTTTTGGTGACTCCAAGGCTGGTTTAACAAGACAAAAAACAGACTGTGATGGAATAGAGATGCTGACCTGCTCTGAAGAACTCAGTGAAAAGGGGAAATGGTGTCACACAAGCTACAGAGCTTAAGTTCTAGTGAATCTTCCCGCTTCTTAAACAGAATTTGAGGTCTCACCGCCCCCGGCAAACTGGAGGGAAACAACAACAAACAACAAACCACATTGAGACAATCCCAGTCCAGCCCACATCACTCTCAATGTTGAGCATCAAAACCTCCTTTTCTTCCTTAGAGGGGTCCGAAGCTCCACCGAGCTAGGCAAGCCAGTCATTTTCTAACACAGTAGACTTGAAACTTTACTAAGACGACACAGGAATAAACAGCCGCTTGCCGGTAGGGTTGCGGGATGGGTGAGCGCGCGCAAGCCGGGGACCCTCGCTTAAAACAATAAAGCCCCCCACCGGGTGGGTGAGTTTCCGGAAACGACACCCCTTAGGCTGAAGAGGGGGATGAGAAGACGGGGGTTGTGGAACCGCTCCGAGGAGAGGGAAGGAGGGCTCCTCGCTCTGTAGACACACTCACACATATCCACCTGCAGCTCAGGGTCTCGCGGGCCGTGGCGACCCGCCTCCACCCTGCACCCTCCGCACCTCCCTTGGACCTGAGTTCATTCTCCTCTCCCCCCAGCCCCTTCCGGATTTGGAATCGGACCGCGATCTCCCCGGCGGCGGCGGCGGCGGCTGCAGAGTGGTGCTGGCAGGCAGGGAGGCTGGGAGGCGGGAGGCGCCGGGGGACTTTACAGGCACGTTTCTGAATAAACTTTCCAATCGCAGGGGGTGCTGTTGCTGTACATTTTACGTAAAACTGAAAGTATCCCACGCCAGAGTGAAGCCCGCTTTTTGACAGCGGCAGCACGCGCGTGTGTGTGCGTGTGTGCATTAAAGAGACAGGGTTTTATTTCCAACAGGTCTTCCCTAATTTCCAGGGAACGTCTGCAGAAAGGCGAGAGGGGGCTGCTGGCTCCCGGGTGTGCGCCTTGGCGGGCGGCGCCTGGGGAGCGCGGCGCTGACCCGGGGCGGTCATCTCACCACCGTAGCCTCCCCGCTGCTGCTGCGAGCCTGTCGCTCTCTCTCCATTCCCCATTTTCTTTTTCCCTGGGTAACAGCACAGGAACAGTTGTGCTCTGCCCGTAAGAAACATTTTCTTTCCATCCCTCTGTGCTTTTGCAGTTGCTCTGGAGTGGGAGGGGGTGTGTCCCTCCCAGGGACCCGGCTCGGGGACCTCCCGCGGCGCCGGGAGCACATTCCCAGGGACTGGGACTCCCGGGACTGCCCGCGCTTTGTCCTCGGCCGCTCAGAGAGGTGGACGCCTCGGCGCCTCTCTCGCCCAGGCCCCCGGCGCTCCCCTCCGGGGGCCAGACTCTGGCTCCTCGTTCTTTATTCCTGGTGCTCTCTTTCCGCGACCCTTAGGAGCCGGGGACTCGGCACTTCCAGTTGCATTCAGACCCAGTCGCTTGGCGGGGCGCTCAGATCCCAGATCCCTGGCTCGGCCTTGGGGGCGCCCTCGGGCCCTGGCCTGCGCCGCCTCCCTTTCCCTGGTCCCCTCTTTCCAGGCCGCCCGGGCTCCTGGAGACTCGGGCGCTGCCCTTCCGGACCTGCAACCCTCCAAACTTGGGCTAGATTCCGCGTTGCCGTGCGCTCCCTCCCGTCTCCCCTCGCCCGCTGCGGAGCTGTAACTTGGAGGCTCAGCTCTCAACTTCGGGTGATTTTTCTTTGCTGTCCTCTCCTCGGGCAAAGTTTCCCGAGCGCAGCCGCGGGCTCGGGGCTTTTACTTCGGCCCCTGGCGTCCGCACGCGGGGAGCAAGCGCGGCGGCGGCGGGGAGGGGAAGTGGGTGTGCGTACGGAGGAGGGTGTCCGGGAGCAACTCTACCTGGCTTCCCTCCGCCCGCGCTTCCCCAGCCCGGGGCTGCAGCCTCCCGGTGCACTCTCGCTCTATTTTTTCCTTTTTTGAATAATCTTTCATTTTAGGGCCCGCGTGTGTGGGGGGGAGCAGGGCGCACGTCTTGCTCCCCCCCACCCTTTCCTCCCACCCCTGCCACCCCTTTCTTCTCTCCCGGCCACGCCACCGCCGCGGCGCTCGCTGCGGCCACTGGTGAGCCTGCGGCCCCAGCGCCCCCTCCCCTCGGCCCGCCCCTCCCCCGGGGGCCGCGTCTGGCGTCCGCGGAGCCCCCCGCCCCGCACCTCCCCCGCCCCGCACTGGCCATTGGCTTGTCCTGGTCTCTTTTTCATGTCCAGCCCCTGATGTGTGTCCATTGGTGTGAGCTTCCCCTTCCCTCCTCCCCTTCTCTCCTGCTCGCCCTGCCCATGTTTTGTGTGTCTCTGTCCATCCAGACTCCTGACGTTCAAGTTCGCAGGGACGTCACGTCCGCACTTGAACTTGCAGCTCAGGGGGGCTTTTGCCATTTTTTTCATCTCTCTCTCTCTCTCTTCCTCTATCTCTCTTCTCTCTCTCTCTCTCTCTCCCTTTTTTTTTTTTTTTTTTTTTTTTTGCTTAAAAAAAAAGCCATGACGGCTCTCCCACAATTCATCTTCCCTGCGCCATCTTTGTATTATTTCTAATTTATTTTGGATGTCAAAAGGCACTGATGAAGATATTTTCTCTGGAGTCTCCTTCTTTCTAACCCGGCTCTCCCGATGTGAACCGAGCCGTCGTCCGCCCGCCGCCGCCGCCGCCGCCGCCGCCGCCGCCCGCCCGCCCCGCAGCCCACCATGTCTCGCCGCAAGCAAGGCAAACCCCAGCACTTAAGCAAACGGGAATTCTCGCGTAAGTAACCCAATAATAGTAATAATAATTATTAATAATCACGAGAGCGCGCAGGACTAGAAGCAAAAGCGAGGGGGAGAGAGGGGTGTGTGCATGCATTTTTAAATTTTTCACGAGAAAAACCTCCGAGAGTCGAGGTAAAAGAGATTAAAGGGGGAAAAACCCTCATCCCATCTCGAACCATTGCCGTGTATGCACTTTTGAGACAGTACGCACCTTTTAATTTTATTTAATTTTACAAAAATTTGACTCCTCCTCTTTCCTCCTTTCCGCTGCTTTATTTCTCTTTTCGAAAAGGAATGCAATGATTCCACCGCCCCCCCTCCCAGTTTTGCAAAATAATGAACAATGCTAAGGATGCGAACAACTCACATGCAAACCTGGGGGTGGGAGCTGGTGGGGAAAGGGAGGTTGCTTCCCACTCACCGTAAGAAATTGGCGGGGAGGGGGGGGAAGTGAGTGAGTACAAGTCTAAAAAACGATTCCCGGGGAGAAAAGAGGTGAGACTGGCCTTTGGACACCAGCGCGCTCACGGTCAAGTGTGCAGCGTGAGGAAAGTAGTCATCCCCACAATAGTGAGAAAGTGGGACTGTGGAAAGGGGCCCCCGGCGCTCCTGAGTCCGCCGAGTCGGGAGAGGGGCCGCGGCGGCGGGGAGAGCCGTGGGACCGGGAAGGACAGGAGACGCGGCCGGCACTGCTGCCTTTTGTTCCGGCCCGAGGTGGGTGTTTGTCCCGCTGCCTTTTGTGCCGGCTCCTCGCGCTTGCCCTCCCGCGCCGCCGCCGCCGCCGCCGCCGCCGCCGCCGAAGGGCAGGAGCCAGGGCCGGGGGAGGAGGCGGCCGGGGGCACGCGGGAGAGGGAGGGAGGGAGCCGGGACTGCTGCCGCCTAGGTTGCCGCTGCCCTCCCCTCCCGACCGAACCTCAGAGGCAGCAAGGAGAAGACTGGCACATAAACAAACAAATACATAAAAATAAAATAAATAAAACAAGGCAAGAGAATGTACAATTTCTTGCCCCCAAATCGAAGCCAAACGCTCTGCCAACCCTTTTCTGTGACGGCCTTCTCTTTGACTCCCCCACCAGCCCCCCTGCAAAAATCTCACAATCTCTAATCCAGAAAAAAATTTACAATCACCCTGTTCCCCAAAACCCCTTCAGTTGCAAACTTAGGGCGCCGGCGGCACGGAGAGGGAGAGAGGAACTCCCTCCTCTTACTATTTTTTGGAAGATTTTCAAAAAAAGTGGAAGTGGATTTTGATTGGGAAAAATCTCGTGTCTGAATGTTTACAAGCACCGCGTGTGCGGGAGCCTCCTGCCAACAAACAGACAGAGGACCGAGCGCCGCGCGGCAGCCCCGGAGCAGGCGGCGGCGGCGGCCTGGCCTCGCCCGGGCCTTGCCCCACCTCGCCGCGCCCCAGCCCAGCCCCGGATCGCCCACCCGGTGCCCGCCGCCCACCCGCCAGGCACGGCGGCAGGCCACGCAGTGACTCCGCGCTAGCCTGGCCCGCGGTCCTGGTCCGCCCCCAGCACAATGCCCAGACCTCTTCTCGACCTCCCAGACTGCGAAATCGGCTGGGTGAAACTCGGCTTTGCAAAGCATTTTTATTTTGCAAAGCAACTGTAAAAGCGCGTTCTGCGCCTCCCCTCCCCTCTGCCCTGGGTACTCTCTCAGATGTCTCTTGTCCACAGCTCGGGACCGCGAGGAGGTCACCACGTGCTTTCCCTGCCCACCCCCCACCCTGCCCGGTCTGGCCACGAGTCCCCCTGCTCCCCGAGCACGGCCAGGCCAGGTGGCGGGGTTGCCGGGAAAGGGCAGGGCAGAAGTGTGTTTGAGTATGCATTTTGAGGGTGCTGGATCCTGGGACCCCGAGCACTTCACCCTTTGGGGCTTGCCCTCTTCCCCAGGCCTGGCTCGGTCTGAGGTTCTTGTGAGTCTATATAAGAGGTGGTGGTGTTGGCTGTCTCCCGCTGACTGCGCCTGAAAGGCGGGCGGTGGGCACTTAGGAAAGTTTGGCAGCAAGGGAAAGAAAGGCGTGAGGGCCCACATTCCCCCCCTACCCAATTTATGATTCTTACTTTAAATTTTTGATGCAGTTTTAAAGGACCACCTATACTTGGTTCTGTGTTTTTTTTTTTTAAAAGGGGTGGTGGTGGGGGGTGCGCACAGGGAATTGAATTTTTCACTGGGCCCTGGAACTTGTCACACACTTCGGAAGCTCCCCCGCCCCGGCACGTTGCGGGGCCCTCCCTCTCCCCACCCCCTCGCATCCCTCCCTCGCCGCTCTCCCCCGCCCCCCACTCCCCCGGCCGCGCCGGATGCGGATCAGACGCGGCGCGCGGCGGTGTGAAGTTACAGCCCGGCCAGGTACCGGCGGGAAGGAAGGGCAGCGTTCGCAGGACTCGGGAAAGTCAGGCCCTTCTTCGGAAGGATGCAGTGGGGGCTCAAAGGACAGACTGGGGCGCGCAGTCCGGGCTGCTCCCTCGTACCCCTCTCCCTCTTGGGTCCATCTTGGGACACTCTAGGCAGGGAGGGTTAGTTCCCCTTCCTCCTGTCCCAGGGTTAAAGGGCCAGTTTGGGAGGGGATGAGGGGGCTACTTTCTCTCCTCATTTTCTGGGTGCGCAGAGGGGGCAGGAGCCATCCCGGTCCTCAGGACCACCCCCCCGCCCCCCGCCTTTGCTCTGTGGGCTGAATGAGCCATTCGGTCGCTAGGAGGCAGAACAAGATCAAGAAAGCTCAGCGAACTTGAACCTGTACCAGAGCCTCCCCCACCTCCTGCCCGGCGATTCTCGTCCGGGGAGGAACAAGCTTTGCGAGGGTGGGGGTGGGGGGAACGAACGGTTAGGCAGAATTCCCTTTCTCTCCCCCATCACCTCGTATGTCTTTGTTCTTCATTTTGACTTTAAAAATGCTTCTGGCAGGGGCCGCGGAGAAGCGACCGGGCGCGCGGCCGACACCCCCGTGCGCGAGCTGAGACCAGCGCGCGCCGGGCTTGGAGCGGGGTGCAGTTTTTGCTTTCTTTCGCGGCCGGCATTTTTGGTAGGGAGGAACCGGGAGTGCGCGCTCTAGGGCTTCGGGGCATGGCCAAAGAGGGAGATATGGCAAGTTTGCACTTGGTCTCCAGGCTCACTTCTTCCATCCCCTCACCCCCATGGAAAGCACAGACCTCGGTGGCCTCGGCTGGCTTGCTCGGCGGCTCTGCAGCCCGGCACCCCCCTCCCCGCCTCCCGTGGCTCTCGCCTCGGAGCTCGGAATCACAATAGTAATAGTTATCATCATAATGATGCGGGCAAGCAGCGTCATTAATAATGAATAACCGCAGCCACCTCTGCGCGCACACCCAGTGCTCAGAATTGCGGGGGAAACGCATTTGCAGAGATCCCCCAAAGTAAAAAGTGTAAGCTTGTGGACACAGAATGAATTTCAGGACCCGCACTTGAGGTGTGTGCGGAGATACTGAGACTGCACCAGGTTAACCAGCCGGTTTTTCCAAACCTCACTTCCTTTTTCACCAACTGGCGGGCCCAGGGAACCGTCACCCCGCGGCCGAGCTGGACGGGCATGGAGGCAGCAGTCAGGGCCCCTGGCTGCCCTCTGCCGCCGGGCCCCCGGGCCGCCGGGCCCCAAGACCCCGCGGTCGCTGCTGCACGTGTTCGCAGCAAGCGCGGCGGGAGCCTGCAGCCAGCACGCTGCTCGCTTTGTGCCTTAGAGTCCCCGCGCCCAACTTCACTTTCTGCACGGTCCACCCCTGCCGGGCCCCCTGCCCCGGGCCCGTAGCCCCCGGCTTTGCTTTTGTTTCTTTGCTTTTCCTCTCTGAATTTCAGCCTCCTTTTGCTTCTTTACCCTGTTAAGACAATCAAGGGGAAGGACTTGGAAAGCAAACTTGAAGACACATCTCCCTTTCCCCCTCCCCCTCCGCTCCTCGGCAGCTCTCGTTTCCCTCGCTCCTTACCAACATTTCTTATAAGGATTATTTTTTTTTTCGTTATATTTATTCTTTTGCAACTACACAGAGAGGAAAGAGATCTCAGTCTGCCACCGAGAGACATTGAGACGTTCCAGGCTGTCTTGCTGTTTGAACGTAGAAGCATTTTATTTTCTATTTCTTCCTCCCCTCGTAGAAAGAATTCGCGGCTAATTATTATGATTATTTGCTCACTCCCTTCCACTTCAATCGAGGACTCCCTGCTTTGTAGCCGGAGTTTAGGCCGGAGCTTAGAAACGTTGGTATTATTGGGGCGAAGGAGGATGGAGTTGAATTGAGGGAGGGGGTAAAATGGCTGAGGTTAGGAAGGTTTTTAGGGAAAGGGGAATTTGCATTAAAATGCAGAGAAATTATCAGATGCCCAGAAAGGAAATGTTGATTGCCACTGAGAAAAGATGTCAATGCAAATCAGTAGACTACACTATGAGAATTGTGTTTTCATATTTTCTTTGTGTCCCACTTTGTCTGATTTTTAATAATATAGCAGCAATATTAAAACACGGTTTGGTATTTCTCTGAACATCACTAGCCAAATGTTTTGCAAGGAGACCGATGTTAAACGTATTTCATACATCAGGATATAATTCTTGTTAATTAGCAATAATTTACGTTAAGAGCATAGAAAATGTTGAGGTTACAGGTTTTATATCTGTACATTTGATCATCTTGTTATTTTCAAGAACTTTGCCTCCTATAAAATTAATTAGGTGAAATGTGGAGGTGTAATCAGCAACCTCTGAATTACCACTTCATTTCCCGGTTTTGATTGTAAATCAGTTCAGTCACTACATTTAGAAGACTTTAACCAAGTCTGTTTTGAACCACATTACTTTTAACTATTTGATACCTAGGAGAATATTTCCTTTTGCACCTAAATAATATTCCCACTTTTAGAAATGTGTCAGGCCTTGGGAAAAAAAAAAAAAAAGAATCTTAACGGTGGAATTAAAAAAATTTTTTTTTGCAAAGGTTCTGTGTACTACTAACTTTGATAAAATAAAATATTTTCCTGAGTCTTCCTTCAGTCTGAAACCTCAGAACTTGCAGCTAATGCTAAACAAAAAAGCCACATTTATCAATGTGTACTTAAAATCCTTAATTCAGACAACAGAAATATTTTGAGAATGAGTTCCCTATTCTTCACTTGGTCAAAATGGAAGCAAATGTAAGAGAAGAATGACATAAAGGCACAATGCAGAAGCACTTCCGTTTGTCTTCTTTTATTTGAAAAGTATGCATATGTATTCTGTATTTATCCTTTGGCCAGTATGTTGGGCAAATAAACATAAATGCTTACTTTACTGTCTTTATTAGTAGGAATATAACCTTCATATTCCTGTGGTGACCTTATGTTAAATTAGGAGGAGTACCAGAGGCTAGAAATTATGAGATGTCCTACTTGAGCACAGGTGCAGCTAGGCAGGGCTCTCTCAATATTATTTCACCTAGCACATCTGGGAGTTACTCCAGATCTTCCCCCTCAATATTCAGCCTGGGTAGGGTTGAAATAAATTTAACCTGAGTTCACTGGATTTTTGCACTTTATCAAAATCTGTTCCAATATTCTACACTCAAATTAAAATCTATTTTTTGATTCTCTGTGGCTTTAAGTTCATTAAATGTGAAATTGGCAGCTTGCTAAAGAAGGTCAGACTGATTAACTGTTTAAGACTTGTACATTTTCTGCTTCAGTTTTATTAACTGGCAGCATCCTGGATGTGTTTTGTATTTTGTGATTTTTTTTTTCTTTTGATAGAGCAAGCATAAGATTTCATAAGCAGAGACTTACCAACTCTCTTTTCCCCTTTGGAAGGTTAAAAAATGATAGAAGCTGGTAAAGTAGATGCTGGAGTATTTTAATACAAAGTTAAAAAAAAAAAAGCCAACAGGAAAAAAAGACATGGCTACCTTGTTATACCATCCGCTGGTGATTATGTGTGCAGAAATAGTCACATAATGAAGCATTTTGGAGCTCATTCAGAAAATTAGTCAACTTTGACAACATTAGGTGAAGTATTTCAAGTCTAAAGAAAGGACTTCTCAGCCTTGCTCTGAAATGTGGTGTTTGCTTGACCATTCTGATTTTTATGTCATGGATGCCACCAAGTACAAACATATTTAGAATATTTTAGGCATTCCGTTTCTCAGAATAAAAAAAAAAAAAAGACTAATTGGCTTATTTTCTTAAGTACTCAAAAGTATCCCATTTAGCTAATGTGTCTGAGAAGTATTGCCAGTGAATTTGGTATTTCTTTGATTTTGTGGCACTGCTGAGAGTGAAAGCAGAAAGGTTTTTGGCAGTGTGAATTATGCTGCGACATGATTATTATTTAGATCCCTTTCATAGGTGCATGCAGTCGTTTTCTTATTACGGCAGTGTAAATGTGGCACATTTTTCGTGTGACATAGTAGCTTTCTAATTTATGAAGCCATGTCTGTTTACTTAGGAGTATATACATTCACACACAAAGGGTGTGTGTGTTTATTCACCTCTCCTTTCATTCTTTGGCACAATGGACAACTTAGTGTATAGGAAAAAAGAAACAAATTTGGTTTCTCTCCACTTTTTTTTTTAACCAGTTTTTCTTGTAGTTATTATTTAAACTTCCTTTATGTTCCCTGTGTTAACTATTTAAGTAGCATTCTTTCTAAACTTACAAACCAGACACATTTGTTGCTGTGTGTGTGTGCATGTGTATATGTGTGTGTGTGTGTGTTCTCTGGAGTTATGCAAGGAAGACTGTTTTCTATACATATATGATGATTTGCCTCATTGATAAATTTGCTCTCTGGTTGATAACCTTCACATCCTTGTACATCTTGTATACTCACATTTTCTGGGTATTACATAGAGAAGCCTAGAAACACTTTACATGATGTGGTAGGATGGCATGGGGTTGAGATGTGCTTTTCCCCCTTTCTCTCCTCTCTGGCACTCTAATAATTGTGCTTTTGTTTCTCCAACCACAGCCGAACCTCTTGAAGCCATTCTTACAGATGATGAACCAGACCACGGCCCGTTGGGAGCTCCAGAAGGGGATCATGACCTCCTCACCTGTGGGCAGTGCCAGATGAACTTCCCGTTGGGGGACATTCTTATTTTTATCGAGCACAAACGGAAACAATGCAATGGCAGCCTCTGCTTAGAAAAAGCTGTGGATAAGCCACCTTCCCCTTCACCAATCGAGATGAAAAAAGCATCCAATCCCGTGGAGGTTGGCATCCAGGTCACGCCAGAGGATGACGATTGTTTATCAACGTCATCTAGAGGAATTTGCCCCAAACAGGAACACATAGCAGGTAAATGAGAAGCAAGGAGAAAAGCTGTTTGCATGTTTTCTTTTCATTTTCAGAGGTGCTGTAGCCAAGCAGTAAGGAGTGGTAAAGTGCTTTCTCTATTTCTCTATGTGACTGTCCATGACAGCCCTGTAATGTTAAAATAATCATTTCTGTTGCTTACGTCCAGAACACAGAAAAATAAATATTTTCCACCTAACTGAATCAGATGTAGGCAGGACAGGTACACACACCAGACACCCTCTCTCTGGATCTGTCGATTTTGGATTTCTTTTCTTCCCCATCCCCACCTTCTCATTTCGAAGTATTGAACTTTACTACACCTAGTCCAGTTCCATTGTCCATTTCCAGACTTGGTGACATGTCAGAGGCAAAGTGGCCATATAGGCATGTGCAGTTCAGCTAACGACTTGTTTGACTCAGAACATCTGGCCAGGCCTCCTTAGGGGTTCAGCTCGTTCTCAAGGCTTCCCTGAAGTAGACTAGGCTGGCAGGGTAGTTGGAGGAGGTGGAAAGAGTTAACTGAGCTTCAGGGCTAGCCTTGGATCCATATTGGCTGTCAGCCCGGATGGGGCTGTAATTAAACACAGCCCCGTGGTGGGATGACACCATGACCTTGACTTTAAGATGCCATTTTCGACTGGCCAGGCCAGAGTAGAGAGGGCAGTTGCTGAAGCGCACAGACATGCTTACTCGAAAAGTTTAAGGGCATGTTGGAAATTTCAAAAGGTTGGTTTGACAGGAACGGCTGCTCCCTGCAGCCTGCCTCCTCAGCTAAATGATAAATGCTTCTCTGTGCTCTCTCTTGTCTCTGATGTGGTTTTGACAGATGTATCTTGATTTTGTTTGTGGTTTACACAGCCACATGTCACCCTTACAAATGTCCAGTCCAGACTCCACTGTTTCTGCTATAACACAATGTAAAAATTTTCTTGGAAAAATCCACACGCATATTCAACAGCCCTCCCTCCTTCGGTTAATTTTAGCAGGGAGGTAGCTAGGTGTGTGGGTTTCTCGGCAGCTCAAGGGAAAAGGAATTAAAGGCTAGCAGTGGGACTTAAATTCCCTGCTCTAAGTGATAAACAGCAACGCTATATAGTGACCCTCAAAACATTTTTTGATTGAGCACATTAGACAAAGTCGATACAGATTCTGTGATGACCGACATGCCATGCCTGTTGGTGGATCGCTTTCTTCCATCTGCCCCCCACCCAGCTCCCGAAAGGCAAGAGGTTTGTTCAGTTTTAGGAAAGGTGGTGCATATCATCAGTTGATTCACTGGAACTTGTCTCTCTGACCTAGTTTGACCACAGAGTTGAACCATAATAGGTCAGTGGTCCAGAGGGGATTAAATGTCATATTATTTCTCCTCTCCCCCTCTAGAATTTGATCATTAAAACCAAACGTGGCATTTTCTTTCTTTTTTTAATGCTTTCTGTAATAACACTCAGATACACTCCCTTTAGTGAAATGGGAAATCTGCTACTGGGGAAGCTGCATTTGCAGAGTGTATTTCTTGAATCCACCACATTTACCTTATGTGACATGTAGGTGAAGATTTTATCTTCCCTACCCCCCAGTAGGATGTGGGAATGACCATTTTCACGTGTTGTCTTGTGACTGGAAGGAAAATGAACAGAAGTGTAAGGCATGATTAATGAAGCAAGAGCAGGCGGAAGGGGATTTGTCGTCTTCGGAGATCCAAAGCCTTGCTAAATCACCAAATATGGAGTAACACTTGCGTGATGTAACATCGTATTTACATATCGAGCTGCTCGTTTAAAAGACAAAACACAGTGTCTGTCAAGCAAGAATTAAAACCACACTTCTTACTGAGGTCCCAAATAGGTTATTCAGTCTCAGATTAACCAGCTCAAAAATTCTGTGCCTCTGTATTTGGAGGAGGAATCTAAAAGCTGGGGGGAAGGCCTTACGTATAGTTAAGGCTTTTACTGCTATCGTTGTGAATCTATGTAGGGAAATAAAAGATATTTGCTTGAACTCCCTGGTTGTCTAAAGGTTCTGTTGTTTTTTTTTTTTTTTTTAAAGAACAAGTACAATAGCAGAACCTGGAGAAGCCAAAACCAAAAGCAAATTTAAAATATATTTTATAGAGCTAATAATCAATTGTTTAACTGAGACGAAAAGCTCTCTAAGATGTCTAAGATATTCAGTGGGTGCACAACAAGTGCTGCGACCCAGGTGAGGTAAACCTTTCATGCATGAATAATTACAAAGTCTTGATTTCTTTCATTGTGTTTAATCACCTGTTCCCACCCTGGAACTGGCTGAACATAAATAGTGTGGTCACATCTCAAAGTGAGATGTCAGTAACTAGAATCACGACTTCTCATAATTCACAGTAATGAATTAAGAGTTTCCTATGGTGAAATTACCATTCTACCATTGCACATAAATTCCGATGCTCTGGCCCTCAGGTGCCCCTGAAGCGAAGTTCTGGAAGACGGCTATGTGTGTACCCCCAGCCCATTTCTCTAAAGCACGTCTCTGCAATTCCAAGTCTGCTTTTCTTTTTATGATGAGGAAGGAAACAATAACAGTAATCATTCAGTAGATATTTGAATTGTGTCACAAAAAGAAAAGAGAAGCAATGCTTTTGTATTAAGGAAAGAGATATATTGATGAATCTCTAGAAGAATATGTTTGGCAACCACATAAAAGATAGTCATTTAAGCGTGCTGGGTAGGAAAGCCTTTATTAAAGTGATGTAAGTTGGATTTGAGTTCACTGTGAGCCTGTACCATTTTATAGGCAGGAAGCAAGAATAAAACAGTGACAGATTCTTCCTAAGATAAATAAAACTTAGAATTCGGGGCTTTCAGATAGGAGAATAAGGCAGAGTTCTTTACATCTTGAGTAAAATGGTATGCATTTTCACTGTACTCAGGCCTCTCCAAGATGAGGTTTTTTTTTTTTTTTTTTTTTTTTTTTTTTTTGAGACAGAGTTTTGGTCTTGTTGCCGAGGCTGGAGTGTGGTGGCATGATCTTGGCTCACTGCAACCTCTGCCCCTCTGCCTCCCAGGTTCAAGCGATTCTCCTGCCTCAGCCTCCCTAGTAGCTGGGATTACAGGCACCCGCCGCCAAGCTTGGCTAATTTTTGTATTTTTACTAGAGACGGGGTTTCACCATGTTGGCCAAGCTGGTCTTGAACTCCTGACCTCAGGTGATCCACCTGCCTCAGCCTCCCAAAGTGCTGGGATTATAGGTTTGAGCCACCTCACCTGGCCCAAGCTGAGTATTTTTTAGAGAGGATTCTTTTTACCTGGTGAGTAGATGGGTATGTGCTCCCCCACTTCATCCATGTACACATATGAGCTGTACACATAGTTGTTAATCAGGTTGATTTTTTCATTTTATTTAAATATTCAAAATATTGTGTGATTGTGACCCATTGAGATAATTGAAGTAGTATTAATTTAGCTGGGAATTAGCAGCTTATGTTGTGTGGGCCCAGTTCATCAATGTGTGTGTCAAATATCCACCCTCAGATATCAGCAGCCTTTGACTTGCAGTCAGAGCTTTCAATAGGGGTTTTGTTTTGTTTTCTTTTATTTTTAGTCTCATATGTTATGATGGGGGAAATATTCATGGAAGATGACTGAATGTGAAACTGCTGTTCCCTTATAGAAAAGACCCAAGCATGATCCCATCATGTCAGATTTGAGGTTTTGGCTTATTGCACATAGGAATCTTTACATTAGGTTTGGGCTGTCATAAAGTTCACTTTTTGAGAGACTAGAGAAAAAATATGACAAATCCTATAAAATGTAGTAAAGTCTGCTCCTGTTCATATGTAACATTTTTTTCTCTTTAAAATCATAACATAGACATTTATATCAGGGTATTTAAAATTATTTGCCTAGACAGTATAGCTGGTATTTAAATAATTATATATCAGACAGATACTCTAAAGAAGGGAGATATACTAATTCAAAATGGAAATACATTAGCATGCTACTTAAAAGTAGATCAAATATAATATGCTTTTCAGAATTTAGAAAATTAACTTACCTTTTCTTTTTGTATCCATTCTGATTCTCTCCTAGCTCAGACTGAACTGGAGGATGTATTTGTGTAACTTGTGGTATAAATGTAAATGAGACTATAAATTATAGTATGCTGTTATGACTACTTATTTTTCTTTTCTCTTTATTTATGTGATTCTGAATAAAAACGACTGACCTCTGAATTTTCAGCATGGCAGTTAAAACAAAAAAAACACCACTACCACAAAAACAATATACTGGTGAACATTTTATTTACCTTCAGAATCCAGAGAACATTGTTTCCTAATAAATACCTAGGATTTTCATAGGGAGCCTATGTTTGCGAGGCCACTATCCAAAGACTCATGTTCATGAAACTGGGAGTCCTATATACAAGCTGTATTTGTAAATAAGACAGAGAAAGGTTGTGAACTGGCAGCTTGGATGTTTTGTCAAAGTACAATGTCAGAGAAACTCTTTCTAAGACAAATTGTAAATAGAACTGTCACAGTGATTGCATGATTGAGCCGCAGAAGTGTCCTACAATTGTTGGCATTGTCAGGACTTTTGAAAGCTTAATTAAACACAGTGGCCCGCATGGCTGCTAAACTTACTAAGGAAAGCCAAAAGGAAAAAAAATATATATCTAAAATGTAGCAGATCCTAAAGATCCCAAACTTCTTTAGACATTACCCTTGTGGTGACACAGAAAAGATGCATTGTGCATTTTCCTAGTCATCTTTTATAAATAATAGTTTTGAGAATAGGTCCACGTGATATGAAGATCATCCTGTGTGTGATGTGGAGATTGTGTTAGTTTTTCTGTCTCCTGCTGTTACAGACAGTTAATGTAAAAATGGCCTTTTATTGGAAACACAAATATGTATTCACTTCAAGAACAGGAGCAGAGGGGGACAAAGTTTCCCTCCCGTTCTCTGTGTTTATTCTGTGAAAGCTTAAAAAAAAAAACAACAACCAGTGCTGTAATTTCTTAAA